ATCTTTGGGTGGCCCCCTCTCCCTCCCGCTGAGGTGGCCTCCCCCACTGACTCGCTCCCTGGGATGGGAGAAATAGCCGACATACAGAACCTCGAGCTCCGCCTCCCAGGTAAGCCGGTTTTTGGGTAACCTCTCTCCCTCCCGTTGAGGCGACATTCCCCGCTGACTGGTCCCCTGTGAGGGGTTGACCAAATGGCAAATGTTGCCTATCCTGTAGGTGGAATAGCATCCCCTCTGGTCTCTCCCCAGGCGTTCTTTCACCTAACCACGCGTTTGCCGTGCGTTGAACCCTTGTGGAGGTTGGCTGATACCATGAATGCGAGTACGCCCTGCAGCCAGTAACACGCCTCTTAGGTCCCTTATTCCAGCCCGATTCTGGCCTAGTTAGGTTAATCGGCTGACCTCCCTTGGGAGTGTAGGCCCAAGCAGTCACTGAGTTGTTGGTCTCACATAGGTTCCGCGAGTGCCGTCCCAAATAACCAGTGGCTGCATATGCCCTCTCGCCACCCTGTAGCTATAGGAATGTGCTCTAACACAAGCTTCCCCTTGTTGACTCCGTGTGCGTGGTGCGTGAGGGCGTGAAGGAAATGCCATGACATATGGCAAACAAAACTTTAAAAAGACACGATCTGACCTAAACGTTGACGATCCTTGCAATGAAAAGACCACGGCAGTCACATTGAAGCCTTATAAGCCTCCTAGTAGAATGAAGAAAGGAAAGCCACAGAAAACATCAAACCATGGTCTGACCATGAAATAGTCCAGCAGCCAAAACAGGGAGACCTCTAAACTTCCCCTCAGACGTCCTCCTAGACCGAGATGGAGACACAAGCTGAACCAGCCAAATCAGGTGCCCCTAAAACTCAAGCCTAAGTGGCGGTCCTAAACGACCCAGGCCGGGAACAGACTGAGGGAGAGTCTGGAGCCCCTAGGCGTTTCCTACAGTTTAAGGTCCCTAAATAACTGAAGGGTTCGACAATCCTTACCAATTGAGAGCATTGAAGAAGCAGAGGCAAATCCGGTTGGCAGTCCAATGATCAAGACACCTTGAATTTCCTGCTGGATACGAAGCTCAAAGACGGGAGAAAAGTAAGTATCTCGCCACTGAATCCCGAAGAAAGGTAAACCAAGATGGTTCTACTAGGCTTCTCATTTGCCTATGGTGTGGAGGTTAATTCATCACACTCCCAGGTCGTGGAGGCTTCCCAAATGTCGAAAGGGAAGACCCCAGCCAGGCAAGTCCTGGTCACCCTGAAGGGAGCCCCAATCACCTCCCTTGATCTGAGGAACTGGGATTCCTACATATGTGCCTGAGCCACTGAGGTGCTTCGTGTCAACAGTACGGACACCACCAGGCCAATTGCAAGGCCAAAGCCAAATGTGGTCTCTATAGCAAGGAACACAACGAGGTGTACCCCAAGGCACACAAAGAAGGCCAAAAAGACACGGTGGTCAAATGTCCCAACTGTGCCGAAATGTGACGCCTGGAGACTGGTTTGCAGTCAGGAACTAGGCGGCCCTCATGCGACAGGTGGCTAAAAAGCAACCTGACTTTGTTCCTGATCTCCCAGGTACCCATGTCTGGGGACGGAACAAAGGGGAAAGGATTCCCTGACTTCCTATGAGGAAGGAGACACCTCCACAGCCGACTCCGGGCACTTCCAATTAAAAGACTTTCCGGCCCCTGCAGGTGCCGACAAAAAGAGCAAGAGGAAAAAAGTTCAACAAATACTGCAAGAGACGACAACCTTCTCTTTGACGAGAAGGATATGTCTCGCCTGTTGACTACTAAAGTCACTGCAGTGGTAACAGCAGAGAGGGCAGTTTAAGTCGCCATGATGCCAATGACCGAAATTGTTGCAGCCATGAAGGGGAGGAAGCTAAAAGCATCCAAACCAACATAGGACGAGACTCCCCACCCTGCAATGACCTTAAACCAACCCTTACAACCAATGTCAAAGCAGGCTGAAATTGTGCAGTCAGAGCCAGAACAACCGCAGGCCGAGACTATACAAGCAAAGCTTGGGGGAGGCTCAAGCTGCACAATGCGTACAGCAGACCAGACTGTATGAGCTTAGATATCAACCAGGTCTGTGCTACTGCAGCACAAGACCGAGTGATTATAGACCAATGCATACCTCCCTACCTTGGATCCCCACAGGAGACCAAATGTGGCTGGCCTTCGCATAGCTAACGTGCTTGAGATATTCCCCAAGATTGCACTTCACAACACCTAAGAACCAACACATGAGAGGGAAGGGTCCTTGACCTCACCTTCACCACTGCAATAATGGTAGAGAGAATAAGGTGGTGTGTCGATGAAACGGTTACATGTGATCACTATAGCACTGTCGCCACCCTCTTGGATGCTGGTTCAGGCCAAAGACCACAGCACAATCCCAGATGGAAAGCAGACAACTGGCAAGCCTTCCAGAATGCCTTGATCCACTGTCTTTGAAGCAATGAATCTCTACATAGAGAAAACTTGGACATACTCGAGCCAGACTTGGCTATGCCATAAATCAGGCAGCCTCTCTGACCATCCTTAAAACTCGGCCATAGTCCTGGGGTCACAAAGACGCCTGGTACTATAATGCTGAGATAAAGGAGGTCAACCACAATTTGAACATGTGCAGGGAACTTTTCCGAAGGCAAAAAAAAAAAAACCTGACAACCTAGCCCTCATACGGGAAGCTGTCAGGAACGCCAAGGAAACTGCCCACAGTGCCAGGCAGGAAAAGTGGCTTGAATAGTTTTGAGTCCCTTTCAGAGCTGTGGAATCGGGTCAGGTGAGCTACTTGCCGCTCAGTCCCAGGATGCACGCAACATGATTCTCAATCAAAGGCAAATAGGTTGGTGTTCTCTGCAAGAACAAGCAGCAACAGCCTGCTTGCTGAAGTGACAGTAAACCAAAAACGCCTAAAAATAGGCAGGCTTGCTCTTATCAGAAACACGACAGACGAGCCTCATAATTCGGATGCCCTTTTTCTCTCTGAGGGAACTAAGAAAAACATATAAAACCAGTTCTGGTTCAGCAACGGGCTCTGATGGGATCACCTACCCCATCATCTCCCACCTAGGGCTGGCAGGTGAGCTTGCATTCCTGGAACTCGTCCACGAGTCCTGGCAAGCTTCCACTCTACCCCAGAACTGGGAAAAAGCCAACATAATTCTCAACCCTCAACCAAAGGAGCCAGGGAGGTACTGCACTATTTCTCTCCTCGGTTGTCTGGCCAAGACAGCCAAGAGGATGGTACTGAACTGGCTCCGATGGAAATTGGGGCCCCGTAATGAACACCTTCACGGGTTCATGAGGGGCATGAGAAAATCACACAGCATAGCCACATTCGTAAGAACAATCTGCACTGCTCTCTCTGTGGTAGTATTCCTAGACCTGGAGGTCTTTTGAACTATCAAGTCCCCTTGCTATTCAGGAGACCCTCATCCATATGGGAATCAGAGGCAGACGCTTAGCCTGGAACAGAACAGCCAAAGTTAGATTCCAAGGTCACCTATCACAACACATGCCAATAGAAAATGGAATGCAACAAGGTGGGGTCCTCAGTCCGGCTCTTTTTAACAGTCTAATGCCCTGCATCCTCAACATACAACTTGCAGAAGGGTGTAAGATTGTTTCTCATGCAGATGATCTAGCAATCATCTCCAGTGATTGACACTACCTGAGAAGAGCCCAGTGCTGTCTGGACCTTGTGTCTGAGTAGTGTTCCAGGACAGGCTGAAAGATTTTGGCAGCAAAATCCAAGGCCATGGCTCTAAGGCTTACTGTAAAAGTTACAAAGCTCAGTGTCCAGGGGATGACTCTAGAATGAGTCAGTCTTCTAATACCTTGGGGTATGAATCAACCACACACTTACATTCAAAAAGGAGATCAAGTACCTGCTTGACCGAACAAAGGAAAGGCTGTCTGTCATGAAAGTAATGACCAGGAGACACATAGGAGTAGGACACAAAGTACTAAATGCATTCCATGTACATGCTGTCCGTCCTGTTGTGGACTATGCTTCTGTCATCCTCACTGCTTGGAAGCCTAAACCAAGAGCAAAATTAGAAACAGTCCAAAACGAAGCTGCCAGGATCATTTTGGGGTCCCCAGATTGACATAGGTTATTAACCTCCTCATGAAGGCAAACCTCCAGCCTGTAGATACCTGAATTGATCTAATGGCACCACAGTTCCTTTCTAAGATCATCCAGGCACCCCAGAACATATACATGAGACAAAAAGTATTCAGATGCTCACAGCAAGACTATGAACTGTTTGCAGACAACTCCTGGTGTTAATACACTATCAGCTCAAAGAGCAATTGCTTGTTAAGGGCATGGACACCCCCCACCATGACTATATTGAACCCCTGCAGTGGGCACAGACCTTAATTGAGTTCTCAGTCATGAGCTTGTCAAGGAAAAAGAACCAGCACTCTATGCCTAGCCTTAAGGCAGAAGCCTAAAGAGGCATTACAGCTATCACTCCTCCAGGCAGAAGAACCTACTTCATGGACGGATCAGTAGATCCTATATGCCACACTACAGGCAGTGGCTTTGTAGCAAGGGATTCCACAAAATCCATGAGGGTGACTGACAACCCCATGCTATAAGCAGAGACAGTTACAATCATGGGAGCCCTACCACACACGTCCATAAGGGAAGGACATGTGGTCATACATACAGACTCTGGGGCAGCCATTGACAGTCTACAGCACAGCATGCCCAACAACATCTACCTCCTGACCACTGTGCACACCTCACCATAGTGCAGAGGGTTCTTGCTCAGTGTATCATCATAAACTGGGTCCCTAGCCACATAGGTATCAATGAGCCACTGGCACTTTTTCAAACAATAAATAGAGGTGCTGAAGTCATACCATACAGATTAAGACTAGGCTACTACTGCAAATGGCAGATTATTGAGGTGATTCTCTCACTAACACACACACACACATAAATATGTATGTTGGGAAGGGTAAGAAAAGAACATTGACATTAGTTTCTCTAGTGTTTCTTTTCTTGAAAACAGTGAAAAATAAACAGATCTCTTCCAGCACATGCATAAACTTAATAATATCTCACTGAGGTACAATCTCATGAAATTCAACAATAATACCAAATGTACAGTAAATGCAACATCTTACCAAGCTAATTCTTCTGTGACTATCTGCTTTAATAAATATATTTTCTGAATTATAAAATCTTATAAATCCAGGTACTATGGAGAAATCTTTGAAACATGACAAAAATAACTTTCATCACTATCAAAGTACTGTGCTTGTTATCCAAAACCATTACTAAACCTACAGTTAAATAAATTACACATCTATTAATATTTCATGCTGTCATACTTCTGGCATATAACATACAAAAGAATGCATATATTTCTTATCTTCTTCCATATTAAAGGAAATAAATTCCTTATTCCTCTACATAATACTATTTGCATCATAACTCAACTTGAAAATGCCCTGAAGTGGATCCTAGTAATAAATTAAGATTTTCTTCACTCATAAATAGATAATGGAGGTCTATTAAACACGCAGACCACTTACTAAGCCATAGTCATTACATGTGCAAATTAATAATTAAGTTTAACACATGGTCAAAAGAAAGTGAGGCAACACAGATATGATGATCAAGGGCAAGGCAACGTTAAGGCCAAATGACAGCATCAGGAACACGATCATGTCATCCTTCGGAAAGCTTGCCTGTCAAGGGAAGAAAAATAAGAGTATGATACCATGAGTACTCGTACATATATGTTTCAGTGTGGATATAAAAATAGCCACTGTTTGTCATATATCCTTAGGGGAATCTGAATTTAAAATTCAACTTTATATACTGGTAAAAAAAAATCTTCAAAAGCTATAAACAACTGAAGTCTGCAATGTTTCTACTTTGTCTTTACAAACAATTTTATTAATAAAAGCTTAACCTCAAAAATGGATAGATATATATATACAAATAAAAAAATTAATGTTATTCAAATAAATATCAACCAAAGGTTAATTCGACATGTGCAAAAAAGATATGCATGAGAATAGATAACTTTAAAAAAAGTCATATAAGGGATTATCATAATGCTGCATTTCCCTTAGAATCATGTAATTCTGACAGATATATAACATTAAAATGCATAAGTCACACCCCTATCAAATATTCTGAAGTCATTCATAACATACCTTTTCCACACCAATACTTATTCACAATTACATTCATCAATTTACCTGAATTATTGCAGACATTCTCCCAATCAGTATGCCTCCCTTGACCCCCAGCAACATGTGTATGCGACTGATCCGGGACTGAACCACTGCCTTCCTCTGTTCTGATGAAATGCCTAGACCTGCAACATTGGAAGGAAATATCAACTTTAATGTAAAACATTTTTTTTTTTTTTTTTACTTCATCCTTTAAGCAAATAAGAAAACACATTGTTACTTATAAAAAATATATTCTATCAGTCCTTCTCAAAGTAAAACATGAAATACCAAATGTCAACTTTTAATGCTGTGTAATATCACTACCTCTCCCCCCAATAAACATACATGCCAGACATCAAAAACTACTAACCTAATGCAAGGGCAGCTCCAGTGAATCTCATAATCAAATAGTAAGGCTGTGTGTCAACCTTGACATACTCTGGTCTCATGCAATGTTTGAGAGCCAGAGAAACTGTCCACAGAGGATTCATTCCTTGGGAAAGTAAGAGGTAGTATGTCATCACAGAAGACAAGATGAGAAAAACTGCTATGACAACTGAAAGGGTCTTTGTAAGTTTCAGTAAACGTTTACTGCTCCAAGCGAAATGCCCAACAAATAAGCCTGAAAAAACAAAAAAGTAACATAGTCAAATCACATTCAACATATTACATTGCTCATTCAGCATGGAAAAGTAAAGAGATAATACAAAATATTCAAATGCATATTAAGTGCACATTTCTTTATACATATATTAACAGATTATGTCCTCTGGTTTGTTGCTTTTTAACTCAATATATTAATACCTTTTTCGTATACATTCTCATTCTAATACATACCTGCGATGACCCCCATAATACACTGATGAACAAAATGAGCTTGGATGTAAAGACGTGAGATGAATACCATTGCATTCCAGCAAATATAGAGGCTATATATCAGAAATGCAAGAAACCACTTCTGAACTTTACTGAAAAATAGTACACAAATTCATTCAATTACCTGATGAGAATAATCAAACCTGGGAAATATTTCCATGAAGAATAAAATGTAAAATTATTGCAAAACTATTTTATACTTTACAGCAATGAGTTCATGATAAGAAAATATCATTAAAACTTTAGAAAAAAATTGAAAAGAATCAGTTATTGTATCTCTAATTTCCACTTACTTCAAAGTTGTTGAATTCCAAATGAAAAAAGTAGTAATGCCCCTTGCAGCAACATAAAAGAGTGCTACATTCATCATGAGGTGGCCTGAAGGTGTTCCAGGACCTGATTCACAGGTGTTTGGAAACTGCCGCAGAAGTGGTCTAGTTTCCTCATTGTACAAAGAGGTCTCTCCCGTCCACCAATAGGGTCGGTCTCCTCTGAATGCCCTGGAGAGTTCAGTATGCTGTGCATTTTCACTCTTTTCCGGTATATTAATGGTCATCATAGTTATAAAAAGATATCAATATATATATTTTTTACTTGGTCCCTGGTAAACTTTCAAATTATTCTCCTAATAGGTCTCAAGCATAAGATATTGCCAGATAATATCTTCACCATATTCTGCTATCCAACTATATCAAAATAATAAATATCTTTGAAATACCTATGGTGATAGAAAAAAAATATATAAAAATATATATACAATATAATAAAACAAAGGTAAATAGAAACATTGAAATCATTGTCCATAATGGTTTATACAAACTATTTATTTATCTAACCATATGGAACAAAAAAGAATAAATGTCCTCACCACTTCAAAAGAAGGTTTGACCATTCCACCAGAATCGCAGCCCATAGTGCACGAGCTCCTAACTCATTCTTCAGTCCAGCAAAAATCGGAAAGAAGAAGGTGAAGGCTTCTCTATTGTCGCCTAATACAGAGACGTGCACCACCCACGATTCATAAGGTTGAAGCCTGGAAATACAAACTTTGCAATAACTCTTAGTACTCCCATAATAACAACAATTACTACTGAAAAACTTCAGTGCCTATAAACATTCCACGACTATTAATATGCATTGTGCTGTTATAAATATCACAGTAATATCCTAGACAGAGAAATAATCCCTTCCTATATAATATACAAAAACTTACCCATGGACATTTATAAAGGAAACAGAGGAAACTTACTTATCTTGTAAATCAGATATGACTTCTACACTCCGCAGGTTCCAACTTTCAGTTGTATTAAAGAATTGAAGATCAGGCTCTGCCATTTCTCCTGCAAGCTCTTTTTCTGGTTCTGATGATAAAAAAAATAATAAATAATAATAAAAATAACAATAATAATAACAATAAATAAATAAATAAAAACTATGAAGAACAAATTTTCATTTGGAGATACAGCAGCTCGTACTAAACTTAAGATACAGAAGTAGCCTGAGGACCTTGAATAAATTTACATGACCTATAAAAATATAAATGTATACATATACATATATATATATATATATATATATATATATATATATATATATATATATATATTCATATATGTATGTATGAATGAATGAATGAGTGAATGGAAGGAATGTATGGCTGAGAGAGAGAGTGTGTGTGCGTGTGTGCGTGTGTGCGTGCGTGCGCGTGCGTGCGTGTGTTGTGCGTGTGTGTGTTATATTATATATATATATATTATATATTATATATTATATATATATAATATAATATATAATGTATGTATGTGTATGTTATTGGATATATTTGATTAGTATGTATATATAATGACTTAAGTATTATGCAGTATAGTAGCCAATGTATGGACCTGTAATAATTATTAGATACATATGTATATTATTATATATACCGTTAATATAATATAAAATTATAATAATGTATATATTATACAATTATACATATATATAATATCTATATATATATGGATACATATAACATATATATATACATATATTAATATATAATATAATATATATATATATATGTATGTATGTATATATACTAGGTGTGTGGTATATGTTGCGTGTATAGTGCGTAGGTGATAGTGTGTGTGCATATATGTTGATGCGTGTATGGTTTATTATATATTATGATACATTATAAAATTAATATTAATTATATTATATATATAATATATTAATATTAATTATGTTGATACATATATTATACATACATATATATACATAATACATACATACATATACATATGTCATTATAATATATCATACATATAGCATATGTACATACTATTATCATTACATATATATATATATGAACATTTATAATTAAATTAATTTAGTAATATATATATATTAATATTATTATATATATATATATTATATATATAATATATATATATATATATAATATTTATAATTTATTTATATATACATATACATACATAAATACATATAATACTCATAGATCTATAGTATAGTTATGCTTATGTAGTTGGTATTTATCATGTATGTTGCATACTCATATTGTATGTGTGTGTGTTAGTGTGTTAGTGTGATATATATATTATATTATATATATATATATATATATAGTGTTAGGGATATTTTATACACTCATATAGAGTAAATGTTTGTTTCCTCAACATATAGAGTGTATGTGGAGGAAAACAACTGCTGAGTGATGAATGGGATACACAGTTTGGCCAAATTTAGTGATTGCCATTAAGATTTATTGACCTTTATACATATCTCTACTACAATGTGATAATAATCTCAGTAAGATAACAGTAAATTCAGATTCTTGTATTCTAATTGTAGACATTAAAGGATAACTAAAGCACCCTAAAATGGCATGAAATTTCTTTCAAAGTAAGTATC